ACGTCTCTCTCCCCCCCCCCCCGCCTTCTCCCTGCTTTTGAAACACCGGGGCAGCTGCAAAATTCAGAAAGACCCCCTGCCTCCCCCCTCCCCAGTCCCTCTTTTGTGTTGAGAGCATCCTCGCTCGAGATTCTGTCTCTGGGTTATGCCCGAGCATCTTCCTCAACCCCAGCTGGCTCTGAGCGCCCGTCCCCAGGACTCCTGCGCCGTGGGGAGGGGGCTGGCCGCTGTCGCTGGTCATTCTGGGGACGGGGAAAGTTGCAGCTGTGGGGTTTCCGCAGGGGGAAGGCGAGGGGGGGGTTGTCCTTTGAATTCAGCTGTAGGAATTTCCCTCCGAGAGCAAAAACTCGGCTGAATTTGGATCAGCCCAGCAGACAAGCTGTGCCTGGATCATTTTTTTTGGAAAAAAGCATCTGACCCCTGGGTTATTTATAGGCGAAGGGGAGAGAGGCGAGAAGATGGTTTTGCACTTGTTGCGTTCTGTGTAATTCAGTAGGAATTTGGCACTGTGGTTTGTGCTCGTGCTGTCCAGACAGGGCAGGCTGCGGATTTAAAGCCACGATTCAGGCCTAGCGGCCAAACCCAGCTTAGATCCCTACACCCTGGTCGCCCCTGGGCCCCTTCCATGCCACTGACTGCGTTTGCACATGACGTCAGCACCGGCTAGGGAATAGTTAAGTCGCCCGTTGGGTGCCGAGCCTGTGCATCGCCTGGGATCCCTGGGAGGTTGGTTGTGCAGGCGGAGGAGTGTGTGGGTGGAAGTCGGGGCTGGGGGAGGCGTACATGGTGCTGTACTTCCCTGTAGCCCTGAGGGGGATGGGAGGCAAGATGGGATGTGTTAGCAGGTCACTGATTTGGGGCCCAGAGCTGGGCATGCTCCGCTCCTATGGATTGCAATGGGGCCTTGAGGTGATTTCCAAGGATTGGGTCCTTAGCGAGAGAACCGGGGTCATTGATCTGCTTACGGGAATCACGCTCGCTGCATGGACCGGGTCCCAGGAGCTCTGTGCCGTTCCGGAGCCAGCGGCAGGCAGAGGCTGCTCGAGGCGCAGGGATGGCAGGGGGAGCTGCTGGTAGAGGAGGTGCAAGTTCTTGCTCCACCCTGCCCCTCCCCCAAAGAGCAGTTCATTTTTTGTCAGGCGAGATGCAGGTGATCCCACGTGACTGGGGCTCCCAAGCTGGTTGGCTTGACCCATATTTTAGGCAGAGTTGGTGGAGAGCCGGTGTGCTTCGCATTTCAATGGAGAGGGCTCCGTACCGGGATCCGTTCTTAAAGGGGCCAAACTGCAGTTGCTGAGACAAAGAAACCCCCAGCCTGGCGCTGGGTGGAGCCGTGGGGCGGCGCACGGGCCTTTCCCCCCCCTGCAAAAGGAGGTCAAACCCTGGTTCATGGCAAGGGCAAGATCTCGGTCTGGATGTGAAATAAACCATCGCACAGGTTATTTGGCTGTGAGTGGCATCTCTGCTCGGGATGGAGTCAGGTCTGGGGCAGGGCAGGGTGGACGCTGGTGCGGGGGACCAGGGTTGGAATAGCATGGGGGGGGCTGCGGGTCAGGATTGAGGGGCATCAGCGGAGCTGGGTGTTTGGGCCCAAGCACTGGGATAGAAAGGGGAGTGGTGGGTTGGGCTTTCGGGGCACTGGCAGGGCAGGAATAGCCGGGCCCCCACATCTCAGCTCTGGTGGGTTGCAGCTGGGCCTGGCTCAGCTGTTTGAGGGCAGGGTGTGCACAGTGTCTGGGCTCTGGCCAGCACTAAATCACCCCCAGATAATGTCACTCAGCCATCCCGCCTGCAGCCGCCGTCTGGGCACATTCTTCATCCCGGCCCCGGCTGCCCCGGGTCCCGCCCATGGGGAACGGCAGCTGCGGGGAGCCCGTCGAGCATCCCGATGTTCCCCAAGCGTCCACGCTGCAGCAGCCCCTGGGCCCAGCCACAGGGTACAGTTTGCTCGTGGCCCCGTGGTGGGCTGCAGGATCCAGGGCTCCAGCCCTCCAGAGGGACTGCCTGTGGGTCTCGGCTTTAAAGTGGAGTTACTGCTGCTGGGCACCAGCCTGTCCCCACTGGAAAGGAGCGGCTCCTGCGCCCTGCCGTACGGGGTGAGATAGGAGCCTCGCCTCCCCACGCTCCCTGGCATTTCCTGCCGACAAGGCGGCCGGTTGCAACGTGGCCCATGGGAAACCCGCTAAGTCTCCCAGGCCAGTCGCTCACTAAGGACTTGGGGATTTGAACCGGCGACCTCATGGTGAAAGGCCTCGTTGGTCGGTCAGCCCCAGGGCCCTGCGCCAGCCGGATCTCTGCCGTGCCCTGCTGACCTTTGCCAGCTGCGATCCTTTCCTCTTGCCACTGAGTGGGTGCGGCCTTCTGCCGAGCCAGCAGACCGGAGCCGCCCGGGTGCATGTGGTGGATCTGCGTCTATCTTGGGCATGGTAAAGTGAGACAAAAGAGCTTTCGTGGCTTAGTGCTTCTGTCACGCATTCACCTGCCCTTCGCCGGCATGAGGGATCCAGCCTCCCAAGCTCTCCTCTCAGATGGGTCTCTGGCCCCCTTGGGCACCTGGGGAGACGGAGCCCCAGAGCTGGGGGAGGGGGACAGGCCAACGTTTTCCCAAAGTGGCTGCTTGAGGCATCCGGGTGGGTCCCCAGAAGCGTCTGAAACCAGTGGCCGCGCCCGGAGCTTTCCCAGCATGCTCGGGATCTGACGGGGGCCTTGTCGACGCCAGGAGCTGTCAGCAATTCTCTCCCCGCTGCTCCAGCGCTGGTGCAGCTTCAGGGGAGGGAGCCGGGGGGTAGCCGAGGTGGCGAGACCCAGCTGTGGGGACGCCGGGCGTCTTGAGCGGGGAGGCCAAGCGCGGCTAACGTTGCTCCCGCCTCTGGATGAGGGAGAACGTCTGACTATCTTCCATGCCGGTGCCGCCTCAGCCTCCTTCCCATGGTTCTTGCTCCTGGCGCCCCGTCCCTGTGTGCCAGGCTCCCCTCTCCTCATTCAAAGCCCTCCTTTAAGGGGCACGGCTGCTGCAAAGCCAGCGAGCGTCGGCCAAGTGCTGCCGCTGGCATCGGGTGCTGAAGAGAGCGAGGTTCTGAGGGGTAGGCCCGGGGCCAGCCTGGGAGTGGGGAGAGGGTCCCCCAGCCTTGTGTGGCTGGGATACATCCCCTGCCCTTGCACTGCCTCTCGTGCGAGGGCTGTTCGGTGAGTGCTGCCCTCTGCAGGACTGGGTAGGACTCGGCCCAGCCCAGGTGGCCGTGCTGATGCGCAGAGCCGAGCGTCCGCCGCGCTCTCTTAACGCATGGGGCAATGGCCTGGTGCCGCCTCCTCCTAAGGACACAACGTGGCCTGGGTCTGCAGATGCCTCTAGCTCTCCTGGTTGGCATTATCTGCCCCTTTACATTGTGAGCTCCTCAGGGCGGGCTGTGTCTCCCATTGGGTCGTGCACCGTGCGTAGCCCGCTACTGCCATTTAACGACACTGTGAGGTTTGGGGGTTCTGTCCTCACCTGCCCTGCCGTTCTGGGGGCCTCTAATGTTGTGCCGCTGTGGCTCACAGCCCGGATCCCGGCCACCAGCATGCGGGTCACAGCCTGGCTTCCACTGCCTGGTTACTGTTTGCAGAGTGACTCCCAACGCCTTGCCCCCGGTCCCAGATTGCCCCCAGTCCACCTGCCTGGGTCCAGCCCTCTCCTGGGACACTCACAGACATTGGTAAGTTCGTTGCGTCTTTACAGAGTCAGTGCGCTGCGGCTCGTTAATGTAACTGGCCTTTGACATACACCCTCATTTCAATCCCAGTGCTGGTCTGGTTTGGATCAAAAGTACAACAAGTTTATTTAATCCAACAGAGAGAGGATTAAGTGATGCCAAGTATAAGGAATAAAGATAGATGGGGTTACAAGCAAACAGAATGTAAAATACACTTCTAAGGCACAACGTGGTTTCAGAAAGGGACAGTCTTTGGTAAGTAGGGTGACCAGATGTCCCGATTTTATAGGGACTGTCCTGATTTTTGGGTCTTTTTCTTATATAGGCTCTGATTACCCGCCACCCCCATCCTGATCTTTCACACTTGCTCTCTGGTCTCCCTGTTGGTAAGCAGGTTTCTCACCTACACTCAGCTCCCGGAGACGTCAGCCTCTTTGGGTGACGGAGCCAATGCTCTGTGATTTTTTAAGAGCTCTGGCCGCTGGAATGCCCCAAGTGATGGATGCCCCCCCGGTGTCTTTTTGCCCCCCCTTGTATCACCCCAAAGTTCATTCTTCAAGCTTTCTGCTGCTCTTCCTTTCTTGTGGACGTCCCATCCTCCTGCTGATGCGTGTGCAAAGGGACTTCCGACGTTTTGATTCCAGGCTGCTTAATTTACATTGGAGACAGGTAGACAGCAGCCACCCCTCCCGTGTGGGAGAAAACCTGTTTCTCCCTTTGTTTGGTCGCAGACTTTAAAGCACAATATATCAGTGAGGCTCCATAAATCCTCCTACAGTGTTAGTGTCTGCATTTTACAATGATAATCAGCAGTGCGTCACAGGCTTTTATAAAAGCCCTCACTCCTTCACTGCTGTAATACAGTAACATCGTATACAGTCAGTTGCTTCACGTGCTTCTCATTTGAGGTTCCGACCCCCTGTCTTTGTAGCTGAGGCTGTCTCCCCTACTGATGCCTTTCTTCACCTTTTATGTAAATGGACCTTCCTTGTCTCTGGTCACATGTTGCCTAATTTACATCAGAGACGCTTTCAAGCAGGTGGAACACGTTCCTTTGTCTGCGACAGGCGTGGCTTAGGCCAAATACATTTTAAGGACATCTTTGCAGCGCGTATCTCTGAAGTCCTTTGGGGGTTTATCGGACATCGTGCGAGAATATTAATGATCAGTGAGTTATTAGTTTTCCAATGACGTATGACATGCCA